GAATGAAAAACATTTTCACTTAAAATGCATTTTAGTGAAACCTTCAGGGCTAGAGGAGGATTTAATGATCATTTTTTCAATACAAAAAAAAGTTGACCATTCTTTTTTCCTATCCTAAATTGAATTTTTATATTCGCAACTCCTTGAAAAAAAAATCTATTTTTTTCATATCTAGATTGAAACTTAATCAAAGAAAAATAATCAGCAATTCAGAAAGCACGTTTGCAGTTAATCATGGATCCAAATGCTTACTCACAGTTAGAGGTTCCAAAGTGCTCTCAGTGTAAGGGTGACCAAGAATTTTACTGCAAAACATGTACACGGGATATGTGTGTGCTTTGTAAGGAGAAACATATGATAGACCTCGACACAAAAGACCACGATGTAGTGATTGACCGTTTAAAGTATGGCGACTTCATTATACCAGTGTACTGTAACATTCACGTAGGCAGATATGTAAATAAGTGGTGTTTGTCCTTTGAATTTCCATCTTGCACTAAGTGCTTTGAACATCGACGTCATAATATTTTAGATATTGTCAAATATTATGATTTACGTAGACAACAACCCAATGAAAAAATTGTTCAGATCAGATCTAACGTTCTTCATAAAAGTCAGGCTATTCTTGCAGGAATCAAATCCGATTTTAAAAGAGTTGTGCATATTTGTCGACAAAATTCTGGCCTCCAGAAAAGCATTACAAAAAGAACTTGCATAATGAAGAAACTGATTGACTTGGTAATGAATGATATAAGTGAATTAAAACATGTACAACTGTCACTGTCACTTAAGCTTAGATTAAAAGAAGCTCAAAGAAATATTACAAACATTGAGATGTATCTGTACAAATTTGAACAGCTATTAGAAAAGCCTTTACAATTCCTTTTATATGTAAAGAAAACAACGATCAAAAATGTAAAGGACATTCCTGATACTCTTTTATTCTCCCTGGATTATGATATCAACATAAATGATGTACAAAAGTTACTTGGTGAAATCCAAATTACAGAGACAGAAAAAAGAAAAGTAAACGAGAAGCAGTTGTTGGAATTAATGTATACACCTGTATTAAAGAAATCATTTACAGTGAAAGGTGCCAATGAGGTTCGGCATATATCTTATGAGAAAACAGGAATATTATGGATCAGTGATCAAAATGGACAAATAGTCTTGACGAACAGATCAAGTGACCCTATTTACACTTTGACAAATACAATAAGTTACACTGGGGGACATTCAGTGTCACGTGATGGCAATTTAATTTACATAGATGTGAGTCATAACATCAACAAATTCTACAAGTACAACAGGAAAAAAAAAACTATAATACCGAAAACAGAACCATGGAAAGCAGAGTGTGTATACTGCTCTCCCTTAAATGAAGATATATTAGTTGGAATGTTGAGTTATAAAAAGGGTAGACATGGATACACAGAGGCAAAGGTAATGCGGTTTAGCAGTACAGGACAAGAAATTCAGTCCATTCAACACAATACTAAGGGAATGAAACTGTATAAATTTCTTGCATACATTACTGAGAACCACAATGGAGATATCATTGTGTCTGACTTGGAGAATGGTGTCGTGGTGACAGGGCGTGATGGGGAATATCGATTCTCGTACACAGGACCTCCATCAGGATCACGAATATCACCGCAAGGAATCTGTGTGGACGCACTATCACACATCCTGGTGTCTGATGATAAAAGCAAAACAGTTCAGATGATTGACAAAGATGGTAATTTCTTAGCACTGCTTTTAAGTAAAGAAAACAGAATAACACCATCTCGGGGTTTGAGCTATGATAGCAGAAATCATATCATATTTGTTGCAACAACAGATATTGACAATTTAGTGTGTGTCTATAGATACATACAGAAAAAGAGTTTTAATTACTTACTGACAAGTGAAAATAGTTTTGAAGAAGGCCAATAAGTTCCGACAGAGTATCAATGTCATTTTGCGCTGTTTTTTTTTTTTCATTTACTTTTTCTTATTTGGCGTCATAATAGAAAAAGACGTCTTGTCACTGTAAACTCAAGCTGTCCTGACAACCGAGTTCCCATTTTATTTTATACCATAATATTCACAGTAGAAGAATGTTATTGTACAATGCATTATAACTGTGATTTTGAGTCTATAAATGTTATCATTATTGAATATAAAAGCGTTACTCTGTTTAATTTCTTTGGATTGGATGTAATAGTATTCAATACAATATATTGTGTAAATAGAGATAATAAAACCAGGACCGTGGTAAAAATTAGAATTATTAAGTGTGATATATAAATGTTTTTACATTTGCAAATGTTTGCCCTTATATAACACAATTTGAACGAGACATTTTTACATCTCGGTAAAAGACGTTCGTCATGTGACCATAAATTAATTGTTTAGTCATACGTGATCTACGTAATTCCATATTGACGTCAAAAGTGATCGATATTTTCAACGCATTCAAACTATTCTGTTGAGTTTTTAAAAAATGTAAATCTCTTATAGATTTAAAACTTCAGTGCCTTACTAATTTTAATAAATCAGTCACAAATGTAAATATAAGTAATAAGGTATAATTTATGAGTTTTATTGGAATATAAAACGGGTTGGCCCATGATCAAATTCTGGGGAAATAAACATTATTTTCTTAATTTTCAGTTTTAATTAGAAATCTTAGTATGTATACATGCTTATGAACTGAAAATTATGAAATAAAGTAACATCTGCTAAATTAAAATAAAAACATATACATCGATCTTAAGAAATTCTACAAACAATACATTTCTCTCAAATATTATCTCACGGGTACTTGACGTCCTATTTTTTATTTAAACAAAATGTTCTCTTCTTATTCTGTAAGAAAAACGTCAGGTGTCTGTAAAAATTTATCATTTTTTATAAGGCCTTACCAACATAATCGATTATAATTTACAATAAGTTTGATAACATTTTCTAAACACATTCATGCAGATTATACATTGCTATTTTAACATGCAATTCATTTGTTCCATCATTATTAGTAAGCTTAAGGTTTAACATGAAATGTTATGAAAATCAAACTTTTGTACTAAGTTAAGAAAAATCACTTTGTGGTGGGATATAATTCCAAACAATCGGACTCTTTCCCGTGCTTATTAAGAACTCATTACACATCGAGAAGTCTTTACAGTCGAGAAACCCCTTGTAGGCTGACAATGGAGAAGGATGGGAACTGGTCAACACTAGATGTTTCTCCTGTGAAAAAAATCTTTTACTCTGATATATCATTGTAAAATAAATGACAGAGGAAAAGACAATTGGTAAATTTATATATTCTCATATTGTGATATTTTAATAACTGATGTCTGGCGGTAATTTGTTCAATTATTCCTTTATGTCTTTAAAAGTCTCAAACTGTATAATTTGTTACAGCCCTACTTCCCATATGCTGTCCACTCTCCTCTATGACGCTTGAATCAGGGTTTCTCACAAGGGGTTTTACCATGGTTAAATTCTTGTGCGCCATGGTTAAAGTCAGCAGCTGCCATGATTAAATTTTATTGCATTTCAGTCCTGACACCTACTTTTTAATGACTTGAGTAGTTACTTGTGTTTATACTACGACTGCTATGCACCTCGCATGCCTCGAAGGAAAGCGGACTGTGCTAAACAAACACGTCATTAATTACTGACTACGCTGTGACTCATGACAATCAATGGAGAGTCAATCAGCTGATCAGATGATCAATATTTTGAGAATTTATTATCCTGTACACATGTTAATAACTTTGGGGAACTTTAACATGTTCGCTACATGATTAGATAACGGGTTTGTAAAAGATGACAATTACGAGCATGATAATCGTCATTCATGCAATTCAAGTTTCTGTCCCAGAAAAAAATACTCTGTAAAAATTTAATATTCCCCTGTATTTAATCAATTTCCCATGGTTTGTTTTTTAAGATTTAACTTGATTATCTTTCTGATAAAATGTGCATTGGGCTTATGAAACATGAATTAAGGCTCATACACTACTAGATATATGATATCAATTTATATCACCTATCAACATAAAAATTCAGATGTAAAAAAGTTACCTTATCAATAATTGAATATTTCTCTTGAGCTTTATTCCCCCACAACATGAATACCAGTCCCTCTCTGTTTTCGTTCAAATGCGATATGACGGCATCTGTAAAAGTTTCCCAGCCAATCCCTTTGCGGGAGTTAGGATCTCCATGCCTCACTGTAAGGCAGGTATTCAGAAGCAGCACTCCTATATTGCAAAAAAATGAAGAAAAATACAAAACTCAAATTCATTTAGCAGATTAATTCTAGAATATGCTTTGAATCATTTTTTTTATATGTAAGCTTATAGATTATACCAAGCTATACTAGATGAAACCCTGCGAAAGCGCAGGAAATTAAATTCATAGTTGCCACTATCGACAGATTCTTTTGACAGCTAACAGGTTTATAGAAAGAAGAAATGCTTTGTTCAAAATCCCGAATGAAGTACACACATCACTGAACGTCTTCACCCTCAACCCCTTTTTATCAGCTTTTAACGCCCTTTAAATAAGTCGAGTATTTGATTCAGATTGTTTTGGGGAAAATGAAATGAAAAATTAAAGCACAAAACTTTACAGCTTGAATTGTATTTGAGCAATATCTTATTCATTAATTTTCTCTTTTCATGTAAGCAAGTTAATGTCAAAGTACAAACTGTACTTTGGGACGTTGCCCCGTGGCTTGCGGTGAGGAAAATACAAATTCAACCGATTAATGTATTAGAAAAACCTTCTTGATATATGTAATAGTCTTTCAATATATAAATATATTAAACACTTATAGTGTTATTAATAATTTACATTGTACCATTATTTCAATGAACATTCAAACATTTATTTTCTTAAAGCTTCAATTGCCTCGTTTATCTTTCTTAGATCACTACTAAGATCGGTGAACGACGAAAATAATGTGCACATTTCCCTTTTTCATCGATTATCACATCTTATTTCTTTTACATTACTTTTTCTCTTCTATTCTTAGCTTTCTGATTGGCCCAACTTCACCAATGATCACAGTGTATAACAGCATTTAGACTTGTGTTACTATTTGTAGATATCAAAAGGCATTCTTTCGGTCGATCCATACATATATTGATTTAAAGAAAAACATATCGACATTGCACTTCGTGCTCAGTCGATATAGTTTTTTTTTTCTCTGTGAAATCGATATATACTGACACGCAAATGAAACGCAACACCCTACTTTACGGGGAAATAATTATGTAAAGTAAAGAATTTTGTATCTTAAAATTATGAATATCTTCAATTTGGTAAACATCGGTAATTTAACGGTTTAAGGATTTCCATACTATAACCGGAAGTCAAGTTTGAGTCTGTTTATCAGAAATCAAAAAATGCATGTTTAACAAAACATTTGGCCATATTATGGAGTTATAAGGGTTTTTTACTGTTCATCAAAAGTAATGCAGCAATATGTCAAAAAATAAACTCTCCTTTCGGTTCCCGTAACCAGGCTAAGGCTACTTGAAAATGACTTATGTACGCAGTTCCATTACTCTAGCTGGAAAATTTCAATGTTAACATGATGGAGTGTTGCTGATGCGAAATTTCACTGCATTACGCCTCAACAGGGTCTTACGTATCACATGCATTAAGGAAAGTCATTGTACCGGAAGTCCAAGGGTGGCTAAACTGCTCTAAGTTGGAGAAAATTCGACCTAATCATCTGAAAAACGGACATTTAAAAATGCCAAAGAGTAATTCCTTCGCTCAGATCTCGATATTAATGAACGTATTGCATCGTAGAAATTAAGCTGCAATTGTTGTTAAGGGCAGTCTTGCATGTATTTTACTTTAATGGTTGGAAGGGGGGTGTTTTAACTGTCATATTTTACTAAGTAAAGTAAACAGATAAAATTTACCATTTTTATCAAATCTCTGATGTTCTGAAAAGTGAGTTTAGCCTTACTTTATTAGCTTTTGAAAATCATCAGATAAAAAAAATCAAACATTTGTAGATTATTGCTTGTTGCGTTTCTTTTGCGTGTCAGTATATCTCTGGATCAATCTCATTAAAGGACTATATGTATACGATATCATTTAAATCCAGTATTGATTGAATGATTTAGCGATGATATTTTATGCAATAAATAAACGATTGCTTGTTGCAAGTTCATTAAAAATGGCCAGTAGCTGAGATCCGCCATCCGGAAATACCACCATACCCAGCTTTTTGCTTGTTCATGACTGTTTATGGAAATTTAAAGTAGACTTTTATATAAATGCATGTGCGATACATTCTTTAGGAGTGAACTCTTTACAGTTTACGGACATCAAGTTGTACTGTTGTTTATATATAGTGTATTGTTAGAGGAGTAAGTAAGAACTCTGGTGCACCCATTTCGGAGTTTATTTTCAAAATTTCTTAATTTATATGTATTATTGGTAATCTAACAACCAATTGCAAGCTATATGATAAACGTGATGACTTTAACTTTTCTGTCGTCAACTTTTCTTACTTATGCAGCAATATACCTTCATCACCTGCATACGGAGAATATATCTCAGTTGGTTTGATACGCAAGAGCTTTTCTAAAACGAGGTAAATTATTGACAAGCAAGTTGATGAAACAAGAATATCAACAGTCTTGTTTAAAGTCATCATTTCTATGGTCGATACAATGATCTTGTCAGCAAATACAATTTATCATTGAGTCAAATGCTGACTGACGTTTCTCATGCAAATTATTAGTTCATTATTTCTACACTGAATTGAATTGACGACGGATTTTTACCATTATTTTCTGGTCATGACAAGTAGCACAAGGCGGGTGTGACCGGTCAGCAGGGGATTTTCACTCCTCCATGGCACCTGATCCCACCTCTGATGTTTCGGGGGTCCGTGTTTGCTCTGTTCTTATTTTGTATTTGTTTATGGACTTTGAGATTGAATACTGTTCGTTATCTCCATATCCTTCATGCATAGATTGTAATAGTCGAGGGAAATATTGTTCAACTTATAATTAGTTTCTTATTATTATCAAGACATGCTACAATTACGCCAATTGCAAATGTTAATTGAGGAATTCTTTAACATTGCATGTTTCTTACCTTGAGTTGCCCAGCCTATTAAAGTGCCATGTCCTGGGGGGTCAAATGTTGGTATGTCCTTTTTTACAGCCTTGTACACGTTTTTTAAACTGAAAAATGTGCCAAATCTGATTATACCTATCAATATTAAATCTCACATTAATATCTCTCACAATTAAGATCAACTTAATGTTGATTTTTTGCCCCTAAATTGAAGATTCGGGGGCTTATAGCTTTTGTCTATTCCCTCCGTCCAACCAACTAGCTGTCTAACTGTCAGTTTATCTGTTCCTCTGTGCCCTCAAACTTTAAATATTTGCCTACAAATGTTGCCTCGGACTATGGTTTTCATATTATACAACTACATTCCCTATGTTCAAGAATTTATTTGGGTACCAAAGTATTAGATCTCGTAATCAGGAGCTTGGAGATTGACCAACTTTTTCCAAATTTTATAAAACGTGAGTCTTGACTTTTGAGTTTGATCTACTTTTGAAAACTTTAATCTCCATATTTTTTTCAATATTTGGTAATAGGATTTTCATATTTCACATGCGCTTGTACAACGCGATATATAAAAACAACTCAAAACGTAACAAACTTGGATTATTACAATTTTCGTTATTATATTTTGCGAAGAGATCAAAGCAAAATGTGATACGCAGCACAGTTAAGGTTACAGTAAAGAGGCGGTGCCTAATTTGTACGGGAAATGTTTATTATGACGTCACACATAATACAAAATACCACAAAATAAAATTATTATCTATTTCAAACAGCTGGATAGGTGTATACTACATACAAACTTAATATTGCATGCAGTTTAGCGTTTGTTTAATCCCACACAACAGTATATACATGTAAACGATGTATCGGTCACAATGCACCTGTCAATCTGACGTCATCTTGTAAAAATGACGAAGTTTGTACACAGCAAGAGGTTGATCAAGTCAAAAATTTGTACAATGAAAAATGTATTTTGTTCTCAAAGAAAATATTATTTGCAGTTAAATAAAAGACCGTTAACTTGGATCGGATACGATGTCTATTTTTAGTATTTTATTTATAAACTGTCCGTACATTCTCCAGACAAGCGATACTGTCGTGTGTTTGTATGCAGAGTAATGGAAGGGCCCTTAAAAATCGATTTATTGCAAGGGCATACCCTCAATGTATCTTGCACACATAAACTCAAGGAGTATAAAGATATTTGAAAAGTGTTGCGAACCTCATGCATTCTTGCAAATAAATTAATTATAGCTGTATTTAATGTAGTTGACCAGCAAAATATTCAACCTGCCGTCCAACAAATTAGATTTTAGCGATTAAAATAGAGAATCTATAGAAATTCGCAGCACTTTTCACAAACTACATATAGTGTTGAAAAGGATTATAAATTAAACTAAGATTTTTAACTTGGTTATGCCCTTGCAATATTGGAATTTATAGATAACCTTTAAACTGCAAGTATAATTGCTAAAACACGTGACGTCCACATCACGTGACAAGTCTAAATAAAAAATCTAAATGTCCCCAATATGTAGAATTAAACCACATTACATTTTTTTGATATCAGTGCAGTCCTAAAAAGAATCGCCTATCTTAATAAAGTATGTATTTTTTATCTTAAAAAATCGCAGATATATCCATTTGTAACCTTAACTGTGCTGCGTAACGCGAAATGTAATAAAACTTTCGGCCTTCACAGGATTTGATCACGTGACCGACCTACTTCAATTCCCATTGAAGTTATAAACTTGTTATATATTTCTTAAAAAAACAACAATACATGACAAAATCTGTATCACACCCATATCAACACTCCACCAATATCAGCCCTCTGACCTTCGGCACTCGTGCTGAAATTGGAAACTCGGGTTAATGAGGTGTGATGCAGATTTGCCATGCATTATTCTGTATTTATCTCCATATCCTTCATTCTTAGTAAAAATACTTCGATTTACTATAGTGAAAACTTTGATTTACTGCAGTTAACTATAGTAAACTTTTCGATAACTATAGTTAACTATAGTTCTTTTTGTTAAAGAACATTCCATTATTACCAGCACATGGAGTTTATGTCTCCAAGGTGATTCGATACGCAAAAGCATGCTCCACATGAGAACAATTATTAAATAGAGGCAAGTTAGCTATAGAGAGCTATATGTTGATGAAAAAAAAATTTGCAACAGTCTTTAATGTCAACGTTTCTCGAATTCTATGGTTGATACAGTGACCTTGTTAACGAATACAATCTATCAATGAGTGGAATATTGACTAACTCCTTTCATGCCAATTCTTAGGCCATTATTAACACACTTAATTGTCAACGGATTTTTCCGTTTTTCCCGATCATGACCAGGCGCATACGGCGGGTGGTATCAGTCTAGAGGGGACACTTTCTCATCCATGGCAGCTGTTTCCACCTCAGATCAGAGGTCCATGTTTGCTCTGATCTAAATTTGACTTTTTTAATGGACTTTTGAGCTTGATTACTGTTCATTTTCATTTTCTACATATTTCACATAAACAAAATTACATATGTAATTAAGATACTCCTAAATAACTACAATAAATTGAAAATCTTTTAATCAAATTTACGATATTGAATTGATACGTTTACATGACACTTGGTCAGGAATCATACCTTGGTGGTTCTGTAACTCCTTCTGGAACACTATATATATAAGCCAAACCTGAAATATCAGGAATCTAATTGTTTTAGATATTATTAGAAGTACCATGACTAACAATATTCTAATGTATTCTGTCTCTGCGTTACATAATTTTATTTTAAAATTTTAAAAATGAGACCCGAGGGCCTTAAAATCACATGAGTGCAACAATTTAGAGGATCCATAAACTGATAAATGAAGCTTTGGTGCCCAAATGCAAGAAAAATAGTATGTGAAGTATCAACAAAATAATCTGTCTTGTATCTATCTACTCGCCATTTAACAGTTTAACCATGTCACTATAAACAATAAAATATTTATATTTCTTAACCCCCTTAACATTAGGTCTCACATTGGCATACCCTGGCCTTTGAAGATTTTTTTTAAATAAGTTATTTTTGTCTCATTTTTAATCAACTATTATCTAAATCTTTACCGATCATTATAACTATATGAAAGTGATTTTGTGTTATAAAATACATGTTCTTGCATGAAGCATACGAACGGGATTCAAGATCAAAGGTATTTTTAATTCTCTTATTCTATTAATCTTTCAAATACATTATTTACAGTGAATAATTATCAAAGGAAAATGGCAAAGAGGAATAACTTTGATCAGTAAATTACAATTGAATAGAGCCCTGGCCGGGACCAGAACACTTGATTTCATTGTCCATGTTCAAAATTCTGGTGAAAATACCTTTGAGTATTACAACTTTTCCTCTGTGTGTAATAGTGTTTTTTGTTATATTTTAAACTGTAAATATATTAAATTTAAAATAATTTATTGAACAATCTTTCTAACTAAAACTCCATTTGATAATAATATTTACTAAACCTTCTTCACTCATTGCAAGATAGTATTTATTTTAGATTTGGAGTTATATTTTCTTAGTTAGAACTCTTTAATCCATTCAAAAGTTTTCAGGAGAACCAGTTTGATGTCAAGCATAGTCAATTGGCTATTCCTGTTATGCAGTGATTTTATTGGTAGGTCATTTAGGTCAAATTCCTTAGTGATTTTTCTTTTTGCTATCTTAAATTCACTTTGAATCTAGCCATAAGCTGTAATATGTCGAATTGGTTGAGGATTTTGTCTAAAATCATTTAATCAACTTTATATTACATATCCACCTACCCCTCCCCTTCCTTCCAGCAAACTCTGAAAATGTTTTCTAAGCTTGCCGGAAAGTTTCGTCGAGATGATATTATTACAATAGATTACAATCTAGCCATAAGTCAGAGTGCTTGTCTGATATATTTGTGTAGAACTAGATTATAATTACTGTGACTGGACATAGATCTTATTACAGTCAGATATGGTTTGGAACAATTGGATGTGACACCCAGATTTATTTTTGGACAATATTGGTCCACTTATATTATATTTTCACAAATTAAAAGAACCCATATCAACACAACCGAGTTCTGTCTCATTATTTGGGAAAACCCTTTGACCGAAGTACACAGGAAATAAAAAAAAATCGAACATTAATCCACACAGACAACAAAAAGCAAGAGAATAAAACAAACAAACAAAAACAAAAAAACACAGGTGGGAATTGTACGCTCAATATACTGACCATGTGCTTGTCCGGGTTCATAAAACGGGTCCTGTCCTAAGATGATCACTTTAACCGTAAATTATAGTATATAAAATGAATATGAAACTATGTTACGACATGACATTTCCTCTGCTGTTTATTTACGCATTGAAAGTTTATGCAAAAAAGGTAACTATTTTAATCGTATTTGTTTTTTGTTTTTTTTTTCAAATTTTATGCCATTATCAAATTACGTTTCCTTTGACATCTTTATTTTCGAATACTTTACTTTCAAGACATTAAAGCCATACTTCGTAAATACTGCAGAATCTTGTCCAGCTAAATACTTCTTCCTTTGAAGGATACACTACGTAAATACTTCTTTGAGACATCACATTGTTTGCCAGCTAAATTTTAGATGTAAATTGAAGAAAAATAAACCTGAGCAACATTTTTCATGTGCACATGTTGTGCATAACAGTATTTACATGGATTTAAAAAAAACAATATGAGTTGACATTCTTCTAGATTTTGTTACATTTTGCATGTAAATACACACATTGATAAAATACTCCTTCGAAAATTCATCATTTAAAGCTTTGAACCATGACTTTCCTATACCGTCCAATAACTCACTTGTGACTGAATCTATGATATGGAAATATAAGGTAAATTTGTTTCCCTTTTCGACTAGATATACAATTGTGCCGCATTCTGTCAATGATACTAAATGAAACAATGAACAGTTTAAAAAGAAGAAAATTTATATTTTCCTGTATACAATTATTTCTTTGTTAGAATTTGAAATTACAAGACGTACTACATAACATTTTATCTTCAGGTATCAAATCATGAGTAGAAATAAAGAAATAAAACTAATTGAGACACTTAAGGGTATTTTCCAAAGAATATCCATTGTCCCTATGCGCAATTTTATCTTATTCCAGCTGACATAAAATATTTCTTATCAACATTCCATTAGCATTTTAAATTATTCTACAGACTCTCTTACTGTATACATTATGCTAAGGACAATCCTACAAGCAACACATATTTTACAAGATAGAAATTGCTCATTAAATCACGTTTTAAATACATATTTTGCAAAATCTTTGGTGGATACAAGGACCTTGTTTACAAGTACAAATTTGTCTTGAAGTCGACCTTTTCGCATGCAGATTGTTAGGCCATTATTCTTACATTGTATTGTTTGTTGAATTTACGTTTATGCAATCATGGTTAAGAACACACTACGAGAATTACGGGTTTACAGGGGATACCGAAGATCAATCCTAATGGTTCTTGTTCTTCGATTTTCAGGGATCACTGTTTTGCTCACAGTTTGAGTCAGCTTTGTTTGAGTGGATTTTAGGTATGACTACTGATATGTTATCTTACATATTTCATAGTTAAGAACATAACAGACACATAGTGTTATATATAATATAATGATATAATAATCATTTTGTAATTAACTGCTCATTGTGCAAATCGTTATGTAACCCGTCGGTAGAGATCAGTAACAATATTCTTGGGTTTTGATAATTTATATGTATGGAAATAAACCTACAACATTCATACAAAATACTAAGCATTCATTCTTTACACACAGTTCACTAACTTTAAAAATACGTTTTACAAATCTTACATTATCTTTACATTTAAATTACTTAAATCTATATATTACTGGAAATTATAAATATAGATAAAAGCTTACCAGTCTACATCACCCTATACGCTATACATTCATTAATTGGTGCTTCTACCTTGACGGTGTGCATGGGTATGGGTATAGGCGGACAGGTAATTTAAAACAGGTTTTGTTAGTGAATACAACTCACTCTCTCTCTCTCTCTCATACACCCCTTTCTCTCTATCATACTAAATCACGTGACATCGACAGCGAATGACAACGAAGACAGACAAACAATGAAGACTCTAAACACAAATAGGTGGATCCAACATCCAACACCTGGCTACATATTCCCCCTGCCAGGAGAAAATGGCTCCTGACATTACCTTATCACCTAGCCAAGGATAACAGGGCATGGGTCAAGTGGTACTAAAAAAATATACTTGCTATCATACATCAGTAGTAATACTGATGAAGAACAAACTTCATTGTTGTCATCATATAATATATAAGTCGTACCTGTAAGTATATACACATAGTAAAAAAAATAAGAAGTATAACTTCATGAAAATCTATAACTAGAAACATACTGACACACGAACAAACTACACAAGTGTCTATAACTAATCACATCTCTGCTGGCTCTACACTAATGTCTCTAAGTAAACACATTTCTGGCTGACATCCTGGACATACTGCCACTCCCCATATCTCTCTGGCTGTTTACTAACTCTAGTCGATCTTCTGGGAGGTGGAGTACTAATACTGGGCGAATTCACTGAAACTGAAGATCTAGAAAAAGAAGATGGTAAAGTAGATTCATGTAAAGAAGAATGGTTCGATGACTGTCGAAAAGATGAATGGTTCATAGTTGACTGTCGGGGAGAGGATTGGTTTATAGTTGACTGTCGAGGAGAAGACTGCTGAGTGTTTTGACAACGACGTCTCTGTGGTATGATGTAAACTCCTCTATCGCTCTCATCTGAAGAACTTTGAGATGAATCATCTGAAGGAATGGTGGGTGTTGTCTGATGACTCTGATTCTTTTTGACCTGTTTAGAAACTGGAGAAGAAATAACATTAGTAGGAATACAATTAAAAGGCAAAAGAAAATTTCTGTGTAGACCCTTTTCCGTCCTCACGCCTAACAACATAAACTGGAATTTCTTCATTTGGAATACCTAAAATAATGTAAACATATTCATCCCACTTGTCTGCAAGTTTATGCTTTTCTTTAAAACCTACTTTTCTAACTAAGACTCTATCCCCAATTTCTAACTTAGAATTTCTAACTTTCCTATCAAAATTTTCTTTATTTTTATCTGCATTTTTCTTTGATTCTTCTGCGGCAACTTTATAAGAATACTGTAATCTTTCTTGGAGTTTATGTACATATGATTGGTGATCTTTTGCTCCTACATTCTGATTTCCTGGTTTGATTCCTCAGAATGCATCTAGTGACAGGCGTGGGTGCCATCCGAACATTAAGAAATGTGGAGAATACCCAGTGGCATCATTCTTGACTGAATTGTAGGCATGTACTAATGTTGTAACATAAGATTTCCAATCTGCTTTCTGGCTTTCTTCTAGTGTACTCAGCATTTTAATAAGGGTTTGGTTAAATCTTTCAACTGATCCGTTGCCTTCAGGATGGTATGGCGTTGTTCTCGATTTCTTGATGTTAGCTATCTTGCAGAATTCTTTGATGACTTTGCTTTCGAAATTTCTCCCTTGGTCGCTATGGAGTTGATCTGGAAAACTGTAATGGACAATAAAATTTTCATATAAAGCTTTAGCTGTTGTAGTCGCTAACTGGTTTTTCAATGGAACTGCGCAGGCGTATCTGGTGAAGTGATCTGTAATAACAAGGATATTTTCAAACCCCCCTTTACATTTCTCTAAGGACAAAAAATCAATACAAAGAATCTCTAATGGTTTGGTTGATGTAATGGGATGAAGATTGGCTCTTGGTCTGATAGGTGTTTTACTTCTGATACATCTCTCACAGTTCTCTACTCTGGCTCTGATATCTTGCTCTAACCCTGGATAATAAAACTCTCTGCTTTGCTAGCCAAATGGTCTTCTCTATTCCTGGGTGTCCTACTTCTTTGTGAATGCCTACGAAAACTACATCTTTGAAATGTTCTGGTAAACAAAGTTGAGTAACTTTCTCTCCATCTAAGAAGGAATTTCTGTATAAAATCTCATCAATGATCTGAAGTTTCTTTCTCTCTCTTAAATATTTCTGTACCATTTTTGTTTCTTTCCAACCCTTCTCTCCCTGCTCTAAAATCTCTATGACTCTGGCTATGGTTTTATCTTCTCTCTGTTCTTTCTTCCAGTCGATGTCTGACGTATCTGTTGCTGTAATCTCATCCGATGGAAAATTCTGGGATAGCTTACCAGTCTACATCACCCTATACGCTATACATTCATTAATTGGTGCTTCTACCTTGACGGTGTGCATGGGTATGGGTATAGGCGGACAGGTAATTTAAAACAGGTTTTGTTAGTGAATACAACTCACTCTCTCTCTCTCATACACCCCTTTCTCTCTATCATACTAAATCACGTGACATCGACAGCGAATGACAACGAAGACAGACAAACAATGAAGACTCTAAACACAAATAGGTGGATCCAACATCCAACACCTGGCTACAGTTAGCTTATGTTCCAACTACAATGAACTTTTGCTCGAAACGAAGCAAACCTGAAGGGAAAGTTAAGCATGGAAGCATGTGGAGATAATTTAGAAACATTTTCGAGCTTGAATATCCTTTAAACAACAAATTTGTGAACTTTGAAAAGTTAAAGTGCACGGCGCATGTACATGACTCCTATGAGATATTAAAATTCTCACTCATGTTTTTTTTTTACATTTTCCATCTATTTATTTCAGCTGTAGTGTGTTTTGTAGATTAGGCAAGATAAGGAAAGAAAAAATTCATGAGTGGTTAAGCTTTTATAAGTACCCTTGTTTGATAATATACCTTTTCAATATATATACCTGTATATCATTTTAGAAAAGCTTATAGCAAAGTTATGTTACTTACCCAACTGTGCCCAGTCTAGATAACTTTCTTCTAAATGCGGCGCCTCTGGCAGAATTGATCTGGAACGCAGGAAAATAACGTTTAATAGCACGTTAGCAACTCATATACCATTTTTTTAAAAACAAGATAAAAGTATCAACTTAGATCTACTTAAATCTCTTATCAGCCTAGCTGCAAATCTGTAGTGTTATGGTTTTATATATTTGTCTTTGACCATAACGCTACAGATCCCGAAATGCAAATAAGGTGCAATTCACGGCGCAATATTTTTGGGCACTTTTGGGGAGAATTTCTCTACTTTCCAGCATCGGTCAATTAACTACCTTTCACCCCCTACTTTTAGGCACATTATTTAACTACCCTGTATATGTTATCCATCTACCAACACATTATAGTCGTCTATACATGTGATAAACTCGCTTGATTAAAATTATACTTTAGATTGCTGAAAATTCACTACAAGCCTGTTTATTGCCTGTAGAGACAACTATAAATGTTTGACAGGTGGGGAAAAAATGAATATAGCAGCTACAGAATGTGTCTAGAATTAGGGAAAGAAAGGTGGTTGATTGACCAATGCAAGAAAGTGGAGAAGTTCTTCCCAAAAGTGCGCAAAAAATATTGCATCGTAAATTGCACCTTTTCTGCATTATCGGATCTGTAGCATTATGGTCAAAGACCAATATATAAAACAATAACGCTACAAATCTGCAGCTATTGTCAGCCTAAAATCCTTTAGAAATATTTTTCATTCAACGAATGAAAAAGAAATTTAAAATTCTATTGAAGAATTATAAAATAAAGGAGTAAATCCTATGAAATTATCAGTAGACATGCGATTTGAGGTGTAAATGAACAGAAACACGTACCCTATTGGTAGAAGCCCTCCGAATTGATAATGTGGATAAAGTAGGATGAATGGATTTTGTAGATTCCGTTGATAAAGAGGAATACATTGATTTTGTTGAAAAAATGGAATTTGCGGAATATAATGATTTTGTGTAAACCTTGCATAATGCGGAATAAGTGGATAGTGTTGAATGTGTGGATATTGTTGAATAAGTGGGTTTTGTGGAATAAGTGAATTTTGTGGAATAAATTGATTTGGTGGAATGAATGAACTTTGTGGAATAATTGGATACGATGGAATAAATGAACTTTGTGGAAAAATTGAATTTGGTGGAATAAGTTGAATTCGTGGAAAAACAGGACACAGACCTGAAATAATAGAAAGTGTTTTAGAAATTCTCAGTTAATTTTTGTGATTCAATGCTGTTCGATAACTTGATTTCCTTATGATTGTCTTTGATATATCTTATGCATATACTGAAATGAAAGAATGTTCATGATTTAATATATTAACCGAACAATTCATTGACAAATATTTGTCTTTCCTGACATTAAAGAATATTTGTATTCTGGTCATCAAAGGAATTCAGTACCTACTACAGTGACAGTGACAAGGTGAATTCTATCTTAGCTTTTTAAACAAAAATTTGAAATTTACAAATGTACAAGATATGTTTTAGTCTCGAAAAGGAAAAATCAAGAAAAGACTACCAACCCAGGGATTGATTGAATCCGTGATAATGGTTTTGTACTAGGATGCTCATCTGTTAACAAAATCATTTTTTCAATTTCCATTGAAAATGTAAATTAAGAATCAAATTTGAGAGAATTCTTATAGATCTTGAAGAAACTCTTACTGCGTGCATCCTGTTGTACATGTATCTCATCCAGTCGACCACACGTTGCACTGGGAAACTTGCACTCAGCATGTTTTTCAGATATCACGTACACAAATGTCTGGAATATAGGAGTTATAAAATCAAAAAAAAATGTTATGCCATAAAAAATGAAAATGTGTAAAGGGAATCAAATTTTGTTCAAATGAAGGATCGCAGCCATTTTCAAGAGGAGATGATTAGGAACTAATCAACAAATAATGGCATCATTTAAAAATCTTCTACTCAAGAACAGCAAAGCCATGATTTGCCTTATATGTATTTTTATGGAAGCATCCTCAGTTGATGTAGATTCAAGCTTGTCCACACCATGACCCTCGGAGGTAGGGGGTACAATGGATGAATAAATTTTTATATCGGAATACATAGGAAATTTCTCCATAACTATTTTTCAAGGAACAGAAGAGCTATGATTGTGATTATTTATAAGGAAGCATCCTCAGGTAGTGTTGATTAAAAAATGTTCAAATTATGACCCCCAGTGGTAGCGTGGGGTTACAATTTGGAATCATTTTTTAAAAAAAAGACATATATATATAGGAAAATATCGTTAAATATCATCTCAAGAACATCAAAGCAACGATTGGTAATATCTATATATTATATGGAGACATATTCTAGATTCAATTTTTTTTTAAATCATGAGCCCTGGGGATAGGGCAAGCCCACAATGAGTGATCAAAAACTCTATATTAAAAAAAATAGTAATTATTGCAAATAATTTCATTTATGTGACATGTTCTTGTTTTATTATGTTATTATAAAACAGTGTCTGTATTGGACATAGTTTTATACTAAGTAGCTATTCGGTTCCTTTTTTGAACTAATTTTACCCTTTTCCACGTGATCATTATTGATCCGTTTACCAAACGAGAAAGCATGGTTTATTGAACTGCTGAATTTTTCGAATTTATACCATATTTCCCAAAGAAAATTCTACAACTTTTGTTGTGATGCCATTTTGAAGATTTCGGACGATGTGATCTGCTTGTTATTTGCAGAAAAACGTCTGTAAAGTGAGTTTTTGTTGCGAAATCGGCCTTGTAAAGTTTACATGCGGGCATTAAGCATGCTGAGGAAGTCGCAATTCAAGACGACCAAAATACTTTACATGCGATTCTTACATGGATATTCTATTACTACGAGTCGTCTGGGGAATAATATGGTCAACTGAAGTAAATTTGGTAAACGATCGATAAACAGTGTCAGTGTATCTACAGTGGTGTAAAATATGTAGTAAATAATGTCGGGCTCGAGATCCCGAAAACTCTTACATACACTATGTCAGCTGTAAACATAGACCCTTCGCTGTAGGTCTCTGCTGTAAACAATAATATACAATTACATTATAGACCTGACAGTGTATAGACTTTTTCCCGGGAGGTTTTTGCAACTGGCCGTCAGTGATTCACCTACATCGTTAATCCTAACACCGCGATCAGGCCTGGAGATTTTATCAATCACACCGGTAACTTCATTCCTTTAGGAACTTTTGCCTATTTACGGTGATTTGCAATTTGCTGAGCTTAGAAAATGTGCATCTATGTGATAACATCATTTTTATTAACTGTCCATCCAAAATATCACAAGACAGTTTGCTTCTTACATTCACCTTGGCCGGGGAATAAGAACCTGTTTGTTACAGTGGAAACCTTTCACTTCTTCAAGGACTTGAATGTCAGAATCATCTACACAAACCAGATATTGATGAGTGAATATAAACAGCTCAGCAGTGACGAGTGTTACCTTTTTACAAGTTATGAGATCTCCATTGATGCTGATGTAGTATTCACTTGACACTCCTGCATTCCCAGTATAAAACAGGCCAGTATAGTATAGTACTTCTGATGAAGTCATGTGTTATCCATTAAAATTAAGTTAATTAGCTCATAATTAAAGGCTAAAGTTTTTTGGTTCCTTATATAATTTTGCAATATTTTTACCAATACAGGTATTATACTTGGTAACAAATTCTGCTTTTCCTTTTAAGAGTTTGAACAATGAATGATCTTACTCAAGTTTACTCAAGTTGTTCATGGAGCCAAAAATATTGTTTGGTGTTAGTTGCCTATATGATGTTGGTAAAATATTGTCATTATATGGGTACACAAATCGTGTATGATTCAAATTTTCAATTGTTGAATCAAGATATAGTGTACGTGGGACCACATACACATTTATCACATAAACTGTGCAGGTCATAGGCACAGCTTGTATATAGGTAGAATGATTTACATGATTTAATGCTGATATAGTATTGTTGCTAAGGGTGCACACCATAGTTTCAGGTGACCTTTTACTGAGAATTAGTGTAAAAGTGAGGTCCACATACTAGTACACTACTTATGTTTACCATGCAAACCCACCACTGATTTACACGTTATGTTGTATTTTATAATTGTGAAGGACCATATTCACATTCATTTCACTGACACATTTGGTTGACTCTTGTAGGAACATATATGCATATTTTGTGGACATGTGCAGAACAATATGCATATGTATTTTGTTGACTTGGACAAGACCATGTGCATATGTATTACCTTTTGACTCATGAAAGATTATATGCACATGCATTTTGTTGATCTGGGCAGAATTATATTCACATGTATTTTGTCGACTCATGCAGAACCATACATAATTATGCCAAATTGACATACATTTTGTTTTGTTGACTTGTACGCAACTATATGCACATGTATTTTGTTGACTTAGTCACTTGTGCAGGACCATATGCATATGTATTTTGTTGACTTAGACACTTGTGCAGGACAATATATGCACATGCAAGTTGTTGACTCATGCAGGTCCCTATGCACACATTTTTTGATGACTTGTGTAGGACCATATACACATGAATTTTTTTGAACTTTGCAGGGAAAAATGTGCAGGATCAGATGCACTTGTGTTTGTTGACTTGTGTAGGACCATATGCACATGTATTTTATTAGATTGTGCAGGACCATATGCAGAGTAATGCACTTGTGTTTGTTGATTTGTGTAGGACCATATACACATGTATTTTATTGGATTGTGCAGGACCATATGCACAATAATGCACTTGTGTTTGTTGATTTGTGCAAGACCTGCATGGTAGTATATTATGACATGCAAATTTTGAAGTGCTTTTTTGGTAATATAATGTTATAATGAGAATAATTTATGCTGCATATATGTAGACATATTCTCATGTTGGAATTTACATAACCTGTTATTCCCTGTTGATTTATTGCAGCTGTGCAATACCCAAAGTAAAATAATTAGGTCATTCTCTAAGAATTTATCTTGCATGTTCTGATTGTTCAGTTGTATAGGACATAGCTTAAAATATTGATTTAGATCAGAACACTTGATTAAAAAAATGAATATCATATACTGGATAGTAGTTTACACTTTTATTTTTCCAGCGTTACCTATCCCACCAAATTAGAAACAGACACTATCCACACTGGGTAACACTTGCAGAAGCTATATAGGCCATGTGGAAACAACAGTCAGAAATCAGATATGCATGCACAGACAACACAACAGTGGACAAACAAGTGCCCATTACCAGGACATTGCCTCAACATAGCAAAGTATTGTGGCAACAGCCACTTTAAGTTTGGGTGGTGTATTGGTTCATGTGTCTGGGGACTGCTCTGTCAACAAGTCCATTGAGTAAGATAATATCATGATCAAATGGTTTTTCACTGAATTCAATAGTTTCTGTAAAAAAAAATATATATATATATATATCCTAATTTTGAAATAATGATTTTTATACACTTCATGTCTTTTTTCAGTACATGAAGCAAACTTTAATTAATTCTTCTGAAACAGGGGTTAGAGATATGAAGCAGGGCCCAAAATTTTAAATTCCAATCACTTTAACTCAATTGACGGATGTATTTAAAAAAAAAAAAAAAAAAAAAAAACTTTAATCTAAAAACTAACCTCATTCAGGATAAAGAGATTCATTTGAATATTTCAAAGCTTTGATCAAGATCTAGTAAACTGAAAGTCATGTCAGAGGGATATTTACAAGTTTTATGTCAGATGGTACTAAACTACCTAAAATAAAACTTTCTAGAAATCAAAGAAGACTTAGGGTGATCATAGGATCATTAATATATATATTTTTAGATGGAAAAAGAAAGAAAATGGTAAAATCACAGGTCCTTTAAAAGATACACATTTTGTTGAAATCATATCTCCTATAATAGTTGTTCTACAAAATATGAAACAAAGGGTGAACACAGTTCATGAATCATCTCTATAATCAATCTCTGCAGAGCTCAGTAGTCGTCGAGCGGGACCATACGTTTGACAAATGCAAATTACCGTAGCATAATGTTATCCTAATGAGGATTTACTGTCATGCAGGATAAAATACATGCTTATTAACCCTGCAATTTCTATTGATGATGCTTTTAAACTTATGCATTCGATTGTTGTATGTAATGTTGTTTCACTATACATGGGACCATGCATGTTGAGAAAGTTGCATCACTTGGTATATGGAATATCTCAGTTAACACAGGACCATATGTGTTAAGTTGTTGCATCATGTTGTATATGGAATATTTCTCTAAACACGGGACCATACGTGTTTAGAAAGTAGATGTTTTGTACATGAAATGTTTTACTAAACACAGGACCATATACATGTTTAGTAGGTTACATCATGTTGTAATAGATATTGGCTAAACACAGGACCATATGTATTTGAATAGTTAGATCATCTTGTACATGGAATGTTTCACTAACACGGGACCATACGTGTTTAGTGGGTCACATGTTGTAAATGGAAGATTTTCTAAACACGGGACCATACGTGTTTAGTGGGTCACATGTTGTAAATTGAAGATGTTCTAAACACGGGACCATACGTGTTTAGTGGGTCACATGTTGTAAATGGAAGATTTTCTAAACACGGGACCATACGTGTTTAGTGGGTCACATGTTGTAAATGGAAGATTTTCTAAACACGGGACCATACGTGTTAAAGAATTTATACCACTTTGTATATGCTATATGTCACTGAGCACGGGGCCATACGTGTTGAGGCAGTTTCATTACTTTAAATATACACAGTATTTATTAATTTATTTGAAATGTCTCTTGCTGACATCAGTTACCAATAGTATGTCAGAGCGTTATACCATATGTATGACATTATCTGTATTGTCAGATTCCGCCAAGCCAAGCCAGAAGTTGTCTGTTGGTTCCTTATACCTATCCTCACAAATTCAAACCCTCAGTTTGGTAATCTGTTTTTCCTCTCGAGTGGTCAGAAGTTGTCTGCAGTTAAGAGGAACATTTTTATAAGTTTGACATCTCGGTTGACTGGTCAGAAGTTGTCTGCAGTCATGTGACACATTTTATGCAGCATGGTGTATGTTTGACACCTTTGTTGACTGCTTCAGAAGTTAACTGTCTGCAGTCACGAGGCATATTTTTAGGTCTAGGCAGCATGGTGTATGTTTAGCAACTTTGTTGACTGAACAAAAGTTGCCTGCAGTTAATAGGCACTTAAAGGCTGCATGGTGTTTTTTTGATACCTTTGTTGACTGGTTAGAAGTTGTCTGCAGTAAAGAGGCACATTTTGATGCAGAATGGTGTAAGTTTAACAACTCTGTTGACTGCAGCATGGTGTATGTTTGATACCTTTGTTGACTGGTCAGAAGTTGTCTGCAGTCAAGAGGCACATTTTGATGCAGAATGATGTAAGTTTAACAACTTTGTTGACTGGTCAGAAGTTGTCTGCAGTTTACAAGGTCAGTGTCCATGATTATAAATTCCCATTTTGCTGTCTGGTTAATATTTACTACAGACAGGTGTTTTGTACACTTTTTAAAATTATTTGATGTTTTGCCCTTTGTAATGTTTTCACTCAGTCTTATTGGATGTTTCTTTTTCTTGTTCACAATAACTATTGTATTGTCTTTTGAACTGAGTATATGTCAATTTAAAAAAAAGAAGATGTTTAAATGCTTTTGTATTAATCATCCTGTTGAGGAATTTTGCGTCTCCTGCCAAGACGCCTTTGGGTGGGTGGATCCAATCTCTGATTGGATTGTGGCTGTTTGTTATTTTGTTTTCCCACCTTTTTTGATGACAGGCAGCAGTTTAGAGCATTTTGTATATGTCTTCCAAACTTATGATGTTTATAAGGGGGTCAACTTAAAATGCATGTATATTGTACCTTGTGAAAGATTACAGGGTTGGAATTATTATTCTAGTCTGGTTGACCCCCCTTTTGCCTATGTACATCATGTTACAATGTCATTATGGTGCTGGGGGTCAGATTGTGTAATATTTTGACTAAGATGTGTAATACTCTATATTTGAGTCCTCCTTTTTCTGACCCCCAATTTGTTAAATGTGTTTTACTTTTCCGTCATTTACTTTAATAAATGACATATTTCACTTCAGCATGATGTTATTTGTTTTTGCCTGTTTATCAAAAAACAAGCTCAGTCGTTTGGCAGGAGAACTAAGGAACATAAAATAGTAATTATTGCAAATAATTTCATTTATGTGACATGTTCTTGTTTTATTATGTTATTATAAAACAGTGTCTGTATTGGACATAGTTTTATACTAAGTAGCTATTCGGTTCCTTTTTTGAACTAATTTTACCCTTTTCCACGTGATCATTATTGATCCGTTTACCAAACGAGAAAGCATGGTTTATTGAACTGCTGAATTTTTCGAACCCACCATCCACCCCTTCTGCCACCAATGCTTGTAATTTCTTTCAGGTTGATATTTTTGTTGTTATGTTTTACCAATCCTTTTTGATAGTGTTTGAATGGGTTTAAAAGAGATTTATAGTACTTATTTCTACCGCAGGTTCTTACTGAACAAGTAAACTTTTTGTACATTGTAATAAATGGCAAATCCATGTATTAGGTTACTGAGAATGAGTCCGACATTTATTTTGTGTACCTCGCAATTTTGCTTATGTCTGCAGGTTTCCATATGATTTTTCAGCATAAAGCAGTGTGGCTTTTTATATATGGTTTTTCCTCGGCGGTGAGAGAAACATAGTTGTGTTCAATTTAATGCCTGCGCGATTGTATTGTTATTGGCTGTTTGTTATTTTGTTTTCCCACCTTTTTTGATGACAGGCAGCAGTTTAGAGCATTTTGTATATGTCTTCCAAACTTATGATGTTTATAAGGGGGTCAACTTAAAATGCATGTATATTGTACCTTGTGAAAGATTACAGGGTTGGAATTATTATTCTAGTCTGGTTGACTGACCCCCCTTTTGCCTATGTACATCATGCTACAATGTCATTATGGTGCTGGGGGTCAGATTGTGTAATATTTTGACTAAGATGTGTAATACTCTATATTTGAGTCCTCCTTTTTCTGACCCCCAATTTGTTAAATGTGTTTTACTTTTCCGTCATTTACTTTAATAAATGACATATTTCACTTCAGCATGATGTTATTTGTTTTTGCCTGTTTATCAAAAAACAAGCTCAGTCGTTTGGCAGGAGAACTAAGGAACATAAATCTCTTTTTCTAAGAAAAAGCAATGCTATGATTAGTTAAATCTTAATTGAAGCATCCTCAAATAGGTTTTATTCAAGTTTGTTCGAGTCATGACCCCTGAGGTAGGATGGGCCACAATTGGGGATTCCATTTTACAAAGGAACAATATATAGGAAAAAAATTCTCAAGTACAGAGAAACCATAATTAGTAATATTGATATGCATCCTCTGGTAGTGTAAAGTCAAACTGATTCAAATAAGGGCACAAAGAGTAAAGCTGGTCCACAATTGGAGTCAAGATTTTGCAAATTAATAAAGAAAAATCGTTTACTCAAAAAAGCAAAGCCATTTGTTATATTTATATGGATATGGAAGCATCATCAGGTTGTTTGAAATTCGTCACCTTTTTTTCAATATTGAATACTGTGCTTAGCTGATCGATGTGGTCCATAAGCCTCTTGTTAATTGCAACTGTATATTACTGTGCAGGAAAGAATGTACTGTAGCACTTGCGTAAAATTTAAATCGTCACTATAGTTCTGACGGGTTTTTCTCATGGCGTGCCGGCACATTAAAAATTGTTTTTATGCATGTTTTCCATAAAGTGGGTGTAAATTACTTACTTGTTTAGCTTCAACTGTCGAAATTAAGTGTGTGTCATCTGGTCTACATCTACTAAGAAAATAATTGTGTGAAAACATGGAATATTTATGGCTCATAATGTATTTTAACTTGAAAAACGTTATTCGAGAACAAAAACTGGCTTTAAAAAATAATAGGGGTATATAAATTATATGTTGTTACATCCGACTTGTAAAAAATATGTGCCTTGTAAGAATTCATAATGCAAACAAGAACAAAAAGTATTTCAGAATATTTTCAACATGATGTTTTCGAAAATGAAATTTGAGGGACCAAAATTTATCCCCTCACAAATAGCTTAAAAAAAACCCACCATGCAACCACGTTATCAAAATTGGCCAACCAGATAGGAATCATTGACACGAAACAACTGAGGTTTAAAGCTCTTTCCAAACACCACATTGCTCTTATACAATGAAACTTAGATTCTTCTGGAGAATGGATTTTGTAACAATGTTTTTATAATATTTTTTTTCAAATAAAAGGCGCCCTGAAGGATAAGATTTCTATGCTGGATACATTTAATAGAATATGAAAGAAACCTAAAACTTATTGAAATACCGTAATGTTTATGTTCAGTTTCAAATGCATTGAAAATATTGAATGTAACAGAGCGATCAAAGGTTCTAGTGTTTGAAATTTATTCAATACTTTTCATCTGATGTAACTTTTGATTTATAGGTACAAGAATGAGTATTTCTATAAGTAGCAATATGAACATGATGGATATGGAGATAACGAACAGTATTCGATATCAAAGTCCGTAAAACAATACAAAATTGGAGCAGAGCGAACACGGACCTCCAAAACATCAGAGGTGGAATCAGCTGCCATTAATAAATGATAAATGACAGAAGGTAAACGCAGTGAATAATAAAAACATGGTAAAATATTTTACAAAATGCTCTAAAGGATATCCGATCCTCAGCCAGGAAAAATAACTCCAAAAATTAATATTTAATTTAAAATACATCATTGTGAAGGTTGAAAAAGAAATCTTTTCATGCAATAATTTTCATTTAATTCATCTGTATACGATTCAAAGATTTTGAAAGTCTTAGAAAAGGTTTATAAACATTGACATTTGCACCTTATAAAAGGGAAAAATACAGTTTTAGAGAAATAAGATTTTCCTGAATCCAACCTTTGTTACCAATGCTTATTAGCATGATATTAAATAAGAAGTGGTTTGTGGGTGTCTTGCAATGATAGCAAAAGCCTTTTACACTATGTATTACATAATACATGAAGGGAAAAGAAGAAAAAATATACCAAATAAGCTTTAAAAGCATGACATTTCTCCGAATGCCTGGATACCTATAGATTTTTAATTTCAGATGTATTTGTATAAATCTAAATTAGAAAATGCATTGCTTATATTCCAATTCGCCTTTTCTGCAAAAATATTGGAGATTTGAAAATTTCCCCTACATAATATGATTAACTTTAATCTTTAACTTTAAGGAAATACTGTGGATGAATTTACATTCATGTTGTAACTTTATTGGTTTGAAAATATTTTATTGACAAAAGTCAAAGGGATCGGACACAAGTTCTAGCAACTTAGGTAGTCCTCTCCCATAACTTTATGGATTCAGAGATTCTTTTTATGAGTATTTTTGATCACTTAATTGCTAATTTTATATACATGTGAATCGGACTACCCTAATTTATAACTTTATTCAAGAAGTAAATTACTACCAAATCAATACTTCTAAGACCCCCATCCTGAAAAATAAACAAACAAAATAAAGCCAAAAAACGAAACAACAAAATAAAAAAAAAAAAACGTTTACCTACCTAAACTACTTCATCAATAAGTGGAATCCAACGTTAAACCAACGAAACAAACGCAGATCCTATACTCAGTTGGTATATACAAGGAATGATCAAAAAGTTCGCGAACTAATTGAATAACTTCAATAAAAGAAACAATATTTGGTTTCCTTGTTGATTATATTTTAAAGCTGTCCTCTCCGATTTCAATGCACTTCTGTTACCGTTCTGCTCATGCGCCATTCACGTGATAAAGGCAGTCACGTGACCCCTCCGCAGCGTTCTGTCACAAAAGGTGAAATATTTTTCTGAGTTTTAAAATTTTTTTCCATGTAAGTCAATTTTTATATCAAGAACATTTATGTTCCTTAGTTCTCCTGCCAAACGACTGAGCTTGTTTTTTTAATAAACAGGCAAAAACAAATAACATCATGCTGAAGTGAAATATGTCATTTATTAAAGTAAATGACGGAAAAGTAAAACACATTTAACAAATTGGGGGTCAGAAAAAGGAGGACTCAAATATAGAGTATTACACATCTTAGTCAAAATATTACACAATCTGACCCCCAGCACCATAATGACATTGTAACATGATGTACATAGGCAAAAGGGGGGTCAACCAGACTAGAATAATAATTCCAACCCTGTAATCTTTCACAAGGTACAATATACATGCATTTTAAGTTGACCCCCTTATAAACATCATAAGTTTGGAAGACATATACAAAATGCTCTAAACTGCTGCCTGTCATCAAAAAAGGTGGGAAAACAAAATAACAAACAGCCAATAACAATACAATCGCGCAGGCATTAAATTGAACACAACTATGTTTCTCTCACCGCCGAGGAAAAACCATATATAAAAAGCCACACTGCTTTATGCTGAAAAATCATATGGAAACCTGCAGACATAAGCAAAATTGCGAGGTACACAAAATAAATGTCGGACTCATTCTCAGTAACCTAATACATGGATTTGCCATTTATTACAATGTACAAAAAGTTTACTTGTTCAGTAAGAACCTGCGGTAGAAATAAGTACTATAAATCTCTTTTAAACCCATTCAAACACTATCAAAAAGGATTGGTAAAACATAACAACAAAAATATCAACCTGAAAGAAATTACAAGCATTGGTGGCAGAAGGGGTGGATGGTGGGTTCGAAAAATTCAGCAGTTCAATAAACCATGCTTTCTCGTTTGGTAAACGGATCAATAATGATCAAGTGGAAAAGGGTAAAATTAGTTCAAAAAAGGAACCGAATAGCTACTTAGTATAAAACTATGTCCAATACAGACACTGTTTTATAATAACATAATAAAACAAGAACATGTCACATAAATGTTATTTATGTTCATAAATAATTTTATGCCCATTTCTTGTGTATTGAAAGTGGGAAAAGCGAGATAACTCTAATACTTTTGTGCGTACTTGTTTTTGGAACAACCTCAGTATCAGATTGAGTACAATCAGTGGCAGCGCCATATTTGTATGGAAATACAATTTTATTTTTGAACAAGCAAGTTGGCTTACAGCATATCCAGTGCACAGTTAATACATTTGATGGACTTCTCGTGGTGTGATCTTTTGGATTTCCAAGGAATTCAGCACATTTGTAAGTGTTAAAAGACGAGACTTGAAATTCGGTCTTGGCACACGTGGAAGGCCTACGTGCGTTCCGATTTTTCATCATTCGTAACCTGTGTTGTCCCAACGATCATTGTTTTGTACTGTGTTCTTCCTTCATCAAGATGTCTGTATTAATATTTGGTGACTCACACATTCGACGCTTATATCATTATGCGAGGAATCAGAGACAACATTCAAACAATTATATTTAATGTACAAAATGTAGAGATTTCGGTCATTGGGATTAGTGGGGGCAGAATAGGTCGAATTATGGACATTAGAGTGCTAGAAGAGGAGACTCAAAGGAACCGACCACAGAAGCTAATTTTACATATTGCGGGAAACGATATCGACCAGCCGCAGGCTGATGAGGACTCGGTTAGGGAGATTGTGTCAAAAATAATGGCGACATGTGACTTGTTTTTAAACCGGTATCATTTAAATAAGATATATGTGTGTCAGTTGTTACCAAGATATTCCACCAGACACTGCCGAGTTGTTTTATATAATAAGTTAATAGTCTTGGCAAATCAACTTTTAAAAGAAGAAGTTAAAAACAGAAGGCAGGTTGTGTACTGGAAGTTAAAGGGCTTGAAGAACTCTGTAGTGAAAAACTTTTGTGATGGTGTGCACATGAACCATATTAGCAATGTGAAATATTACAGGACAATCAGGGGTGCTGTGATACATAGTACAAGTGATAGCTAGATAAATATTTTGTATGTCATTTAGCCATATAACAATTATGGTTAATTTGCATCTTAAGTTTATGAAACAGGCAATATATGTATATGTACCTTAGCCTTAGTACCCTAGTGACTTAGAACAGCTTACAAAATGGAGAGCCAGTCCAAGAGTGGGAAATACAGCAAGGGACCCTTGTGATCAAGCATTTATTTTTACTTAGAACAGTAAGTCTGGAAACTTTTTCTACTGCATGAGTTGCAGAAGAGCCTGTGATAATTTGCCACATGTTCAAGTATGAGTGGTAATTTTGCCACATTACTGAACAATTAGTGGTATTTTAATGTATTACTGAATCTTGATAATTTTATCAAGTTACAAATGCGATAATTCTATCGCTATGCTTTACAATAAGTGATAATTTTATCACGTCTTGATCAGTGCTGAATCTTGATAATTCTATCAAGTTATAAATGCGATAATTCTATCGCAATTGGTGATAATTTTATCACGTTGTCAATAGTGCTGAATCTTGATAATTCTATCAAGTTACAAATGCGATAATTCTATCGCTATGCTTTACAGTTAGTGATAATTTTATCACGTCTTGATTAGTGCTGAATCTTGATAATTCTATCAAGTTATAAATGCGATAATTCTATCGCAGTTAGTGATAATTTTATCACGTCTTCATTAGTGCTGAATCTTGTTAATTTTATCAATTATAATGCGATAATTCTATCGCTATGCTTCACTAGGGATAGTGAATTAATTAGTGATATTGCAATGGTTTCTTGATACATTGTGTAGCTATATTTCACTAGTGCACTGTAATTATACAGATTATTTTAAGATATAAACAATAATTTGTATAAAGAACTACCCTAGAGTCAGGTCTAATGGGTAATTTTATCCTATTGCCTGATTTGGGCTAATATTTGGATGAGTAAATCAGCAATAATTTTGCCACATTAATCAATAGCTGATAATTTTATCAGTCATAGATAGGTTGAATTCTTGACATGATTTGTATGAATTAGGCATACATGCTAACATCCATTTACAGAGATGAGTACCGGTAATAGGCCTACAGACTATGGGGGTGGTTACAAAGCCAGTTAATTTACAACAAGAGGAAGTCGCAAGTGACACTCCAACAAGCAACAATCATTCAAGCCAATTAGAAGATGGCAATTTTACCAAGTAATTCAGGTACTAATTAACAAACAGCATCTAAGGAGTTATCACTTAGCGCAGGGGTTAAGAATCCCAGTATCATTTGGCCATTGGATCTCGGTGTAGATTCTAAGATAAAAAGCAAAATCTGGGGAAATGAATTTGTTGACTGGAAATTTGTTAGGAATCAAAAATAAGAATAATTATAAAGGCTTTGAAATCAGTGAAAACTTAGAAGGGGAGTGTGAAATCAAGCCCAAAAAGCAAACATTAAATTCAGAAATCCATAGTGAGGCATTGGCTATCAGTTTGGGTAAATCCAAAGTAGGTCTAAATTCTGGGTTTCTGGTGTTCATAATAAATTCAAATCTGTTCAATATCAGGAGGTAGAAGATGCAGTAGGTTTAATGCGCACATATGGGAAAAATTGTGGGTTGTTTAAACTGGATATTCAGAATGCATTTAAAATCATTCCAATACATTGTTCAGATTGGGAATTGTTGGGTTTTACTTTAGACAATGAATACTATTTTGACAAAACTCTCCCTACGTGACTTAGTTTTTCTTGTCAGTTATTTGAAGAATTCAGTACTGCAGTACATTGGGTATGTGAAAACAAGTTAGGCTTACATGGGAGACTAGTTCATGTTTTTTTTCAAGGATATTGGTATTCCAATTAAGGAGTTAAAAACTGTCCTTCCCTGCACTTCGCTTATATTTTTGGGTATTGAGTTGGATTCTATTTTGATAGAGTCATGTTTACCACAAGACAAGTTAACTAAAGCTAGACACCTAATATAAATTCACAAGTCTAAAAAATCTATAACATTACTAGAGTTACAGTCTGTAATAGGTCTGTTAAACTTCGCCTGTTCAGTGGTCATTCCAGGACGCCCATTTCCTAGGCGGCTAATTGATCTGTCAATTGAGTTAACTCAACCTTTTCATCATAAGAGATTGAATAAGGAAGCTCGGGCGGATTTAAATGCTTGGGGTTTGTTTTTGGAGCATTTACATGGCAAGTCGCTGTTTTCATCAGAGCAATGGGACAATTCTGACTCATTACAGTTGTATATGGATGCAAGTAACATTGGTTTCTGTGGTTATTTACGAAATCAGTATTTTAGTGGTATATGGCCTAAAACTTATCATATTACAATAAAAGGAGTTATTCCCCAGCGTACTTGCATTTCAGCTTTGGGCAGATCAGTTAGAAAATTGATGTATTATTAAATTTTTTTCACGGATAATGATGCTGTTGGGCACATCATCAACAAACAAACCTAAAGAAAAGTCAATCATGGTTCTTGTTTGTCGTTTAGTAGTGCAAGATTTAAAACACAATATTTTATTTCAAGGAAGACATGTACCGGGTTTAGATAATGTTTTAGCTTATCATCTTTCTCGCCAGCAGATTCCACAGTCCCTACAAATATTTTCCCACAACAACCCTGTAGCATGCCATAACAACGGGGACAATCTCAAAGTTTAGAATCAATAGCTTCAGACCTAATAAATCAGTCATTAGCATCATCAACTTATAATACTTATCAAAGGGCAATTGAATATTACCATTGTTTGGTGTCAACATTTTGCTTTGCCAAGGAAAGGTGTACCAGCAAAAGCAAAGATATCATTTTGTTTATAGTTTATTGTTACTGGCAACCTATGTTTCAGCATTAAGTATTCAACATAAGATAAGGAATATGAAAGGCCCAACTTTTAGTGAAAAAATGTTTAAAAGGTTACAAGAATAAGACAAGCTTAGTGGACCCTAGGTTACCTATAACACCAATCATTCTTAAACAGCTGATAGCTTCTTTACAATATACAACAAATTTATATTTTGTACAGGTACTTATGAAAAGTGTGTATTTAGTGGCATTTCACTGTTTTCTTAGGATTGTAGAATTTACAGCTTCAAAAGACAGAAATTGTCATTTATTGTCAGTACAATCTGTACATTTTTTAGAAAATACTTCAGACTGCCCAATAGGGTTGGAGTTGACTATGAAAACTTTCAAACATGGTAAATTGATATCTTCCACTTTGCATGTGGAAAATGACAGCAAAGATAACACAATATGTCCTGTTCAGGCCCTATAGACATATTTTCAATTACGAAAACCAACTTCTGGTCCTCTTTTTACTTTCATGGATGGGTCACCGGAAATATTGTACAGATCAGTTATGTTTGTCATTAAATTGGTGTGGGTTAGATTGTAAACGATATAAAGGTCACAGCTTTAGAATCAGAGCAGCCACAACGGCTTTTTCCAATGGATTTCTAGAGCAAAAAATTAAAGCAATGGGGCGGTGGTCATCAGACGCTTTCAAAAAGTACATTCGAATCCCCTTTGTAAACCTTTGACCGCTCACGAGGTGAGGTTGAGGTAATGAGTTATGACCATGGTGACAAGAGCATCTGGTCAGATTATAATTCATGACATTTCAAATCTACTCTGAGTTGAGTTCCTATAAAATAGTGAGTAATTTGTTAACTTGTTTGGTTGATTGCAATCAAGTGTTTTAATTACTGGTGTCACAAAATTATACCCAATCATGGTGACAAGAGCATCTGGTCAGATTATAATTCATGACATTTCAATTCTACTTTGAGTTGAGTTCCTATAAAATAGTAAGTAATTTGTTAACTTGTTTGGTTGATTGCAATCAAGTGTTTTTAATTACTGGTGTCACAAAATTATACCTAATCATGGTGACAAGAGCATCTGGTCAGATTATAATTCATGACATTTCAAATCTACTTTGAGTTGAGTTCCTATAAAATAGTGAGTAATTTATTTGGTTGATGTCAATCAAGTGTTTTAATTACTGGTGTCACAAATTTAAACCCAATCATGGTGACAAGAGCATCTGATTGTAAAATAAATATCAGACCAGTAATAGAGAATATGAGGGTTTGGACAATTGTCAAAATATGTGAACAAGTTTGACACATTATCTGTTTCAGGAAAGAGGAAATTGGCTTAGAAAAAACATTTTCAACCATGATGACAGGAGCATCTGGTTGTATCAAGAAGTAGTAAAGTTTTGATGTAATTATGCATTTAACAAAGTTTGTGTACAATGTTTAATAATATGGTATTGTTTTACAAGAGTTGAATAGTTTCTTTGTATGTTGGTAAGGTGTTATTTTTCATTGTTTGTATCCAGTTTGTATGAATTTTTAGGAATACTTCTATTGTAGTATGATTTAGACTCGCACTAGGGTTGGGTGGGGATTACTGCTGATGACAGTTCAGATCTGCCTGTCATTGGCAGTAAGTGGCATTTTTACCTTACCCCACCTTTGATGTAAACATTTTATACAGTAAGGTTTTGATCTATTTGGAAGTTGCATGTAGTGATATTGGTATCACTGCAAGGTTTATAAATGTAAATCTATCAAACTACATTTTCATTTTTGTAATAGTTTTACAAAATTGTCATTTGATAATGAATGACCTTTTTCAACTTCAAACGGTGTTGTGTTGGTATCAGATAGTGTAATATTACATCAAACAGAGCAACCTTTAGTGCGAGTATCAGGAAGATGGGCATAAATGAAATTATTTGCAATAATTACTATTTTATGTTCCTTAGTTCTCCTGCCAAACGACTGAGCTTGTTTTTTGATAAACAGGCAAAAACAAATAACATCATGCTGAAGTGAAATATGTCATTTATTAAAGTAAATGACGGAAAAGTAAAACACATTTAACAAATTGGGGGTCAGAAAAAGGAGGACTCAAATATAGAGTATTACACATCTTAGTCAAAATATTACACAATCTGACCCCCAGCACCATAATGACATTGTAACATGATGTACATAGGCAAAAGGGGGGTCAACCAGACTAGAATAATAATTCCAACCCTGTAATCTTTCACAAGGTACAATATACATGCATTTTAAGTTGACCCCCCTTATAAACATCATAAGTTTGGAAGACATATACAAAATGCTCTAAACTGCTGCCTGTCATCAAAAAAGGTGGGAAAACAAAATAACAAACAGCCACAATCCAATCAGAGATTGGATCCACCCACCCAAAGGCGTCTTGGCAGGAGACGCAAAATTCCTCAACAGGATGATTAATACAAAAGCATTTAAACATCTTCTTTTTTTTAAATTGACATATACTCAGTTCAAAAGACAATACAATAGTTATTGTGAACAAGAAAAAGAAACATCCAATAAGACTGAGTGAAAACATTACAAAGGGCAAAACATCAAATAATTTTAAAAAGTGTACAAAACACCTGTCTGTAGTAAATATTAACCAGACAGCAAAATGGGAATTTATAATCATGGACACTGACCTTGTAAACTGCAGACAACTTCTGACCAGTCAACAAAGTTGTTAAACTTACATCATTCTGCATCAAAATGTGCCTCTTGACTGCAGACAACTTCTGACCAGTCAACAAAGGTATCAAACATACACCATGCTGCAGTCAACAGAGTTGTTAAACTTACACCATTCTGCATCAAAATGTGCCTCTTTACTGCAGACAACTTCTAACCAGTCAACAAAGGTATCAAACAAACACCATGCAGCCTTTAAGTGCCTCTTAACTGCAGGCAACTTTTGTTCAGTCAACAAAGTTGCTAAACATACACCATGCTGCCTAGACCTAAAAATATGCCTCGTGACTGCAGACAGTTAACTTCTGAAGCAGTCAACAAAGGTGTCAAACATACACCATGCTGCATAAAATGTGTCACATGACTGCAGACAACTTCTGACCAGTCAACCGAGATGTCAAACTTATAAAAATGTTCCTCTTAACTGCAGACAACTTCTGACCACTCGAGAGGAAAAACAGATTACCAAACTGAGGGTTTGAATTTGTGAGGATAGGTATAAGGAACCAACAGACAACTTCTGGCTTGGCTTGGCGGAATCTGACAATACAGATAATGTCATACATATGGTATAACGCTCTGACATACTATTGGTAACTGATGTCAGCAAGAGACATTTCAAATAAATTAATAAATACTGTGTATATTTAAAGTAATGAAACTGCCTCAACACGTATGGCCACGTGCTCAGTGACATATAGCATATACAAAGTGGTATAAATTCCTTAACACGTATGGTCCCGTGTTTAGAAAATCTACCAATTACAACATGTGACCCACTAAACACGTATGGTCCCGTGTTTAGAAAATCTTCCATTTACAACATGTGACCCACTAAACACGTATGGTCCCGTGTTTAGAAAATCTTCCATTTACAACAGTGACCCACTAAACACGTATGGTCCCGTGTTTAGAAAATCTTCAATTTACAACATGTGACCCACTTAACACGTATGGTCCCGTGTTTAGAAAATCTTCCATTTACAACATGTGACCCACTAAACACGTATGGTCCCGTGTTTAGAAAATCTTCCATTTACAACATGTGACCCACTAAACACGTATGGTCCCGTGTTTAGAAAATCTTCCATTTACAACATGTGACCTACTAAACACGTATGGTCCCGTGTTTAGAACATCTTCCATTTACAACATGTGACCCACTAAACACGTATGGTCCCGTGTTTAGAAAATCTTCCATTTACAACATGTGACCCACTAAACACGTATGGTCCCGTGTTTAGAAAATATTCCATTTACAACATGTGACCCACTTAACACGTATGGTCCCGTGTTTAGAAAATCTTCCATTTACAACATGTGACCCACTAAACACGTATGGTCCCGTGTTTAGAAAATCTTCCATTTACAACATGTGACCCACTAAACACGTATGGTCCCGTGTTTAGAACATCTTCAATTTACAACATGTGACCCACTAAACACGTATGGTCCCGTGTTTAGAAAATCTTCCATTTACAACATGTGACCCACTAAACACGTATGGTCCCGTGTTACTGAAACATTCCATGTACAAGATGATCTAACTATTCAAATACATATGGTCCTGTGTTTAGCCAATATCTATTACAACATGATGTAACCTACTAAACATGTATATGGTCCTGTGTTTAGTAAAACATTTCATGTACAAAACATCTACTTTCTAAACACGTATGGTCCCGTGTTTAGAGAAATATTCCATATACAACATGATGCAACAACTTAACACATATGGTCCTGTGTTAACTGAGATATTCCATATAC